GAGTGTGTGAGTGTGAGAGAGTGTGAGTGTGTGTGTGAGTGAGTGAGTGTGTGAGTGAGTGAGTGAGTGAGTGTGAGTGTGTGAGTGAGTGTGTGTGTGTGTCGCTGACCTCATCGTCACAGTTACAGCCCAGGTCATGGGTCACCTCAGTGGGCGGGGCTAAAGGTGTGGGTGATGTCACTTCCTCTGGCTGTGTGGGGGTGTAGGGGGGCTTCCTCAACACACTGTTCAGACTGCCGTGAGTCCCGTTATTAGGAGCTGGAGTCAAACCCAGCAGATCTATACACACACGCGTGCACACGCACGAACGCACGCACACACACACCAGCTGCATGAATCCGTCACGATTCTCATAAACTAAAACTATTTTAAGAAACCCGGCAGCATTTTCTCACCACACATGACGTTATACAGCTCGATGTTCTCAAAAACAGGCACTTCTGTCTTAAAATTGAAGCCCGGTCCAAATCCCAGAAAGATCGTCTGCGAGAAAAACACAACAATGAGAAGACTGACTGATGGACAGATTCCTGTACAGATTGATTGATTTACCTGCATGCTGCTGATCTTGTTGTCAAAGCCATGATCTCCAAAGAAGCCGCAGGTAGCAGGAGATCTGCTCTCAAACACATATCAAACATCACTAAAGTCACAGAAATCATAACTAGAATAAATGAATGAATTTGTGTCAGATTTGTCTCATTTTAAATGTGAATGTGTCTTAAACTATGCCTACAGCGCACGCTTGCACGCACGCACACACGCACACACACATTGCCACATGCCACTTCCTGTCCATGAGCAGGTGCACGTCTTCGATGCGTATGTTGTTGGCGTAATGCAGGCGTTTGGGCAGGTGCTGCTTCAGGTACGGCTTGAAGTGCTGATTGGGCATCTTACACTGGAAACGGGTCAAAGATCAAATGCAGCACCATGTACAAACACAACAGTGAGTCTGTCTGAAGGATGCGATTGATGGACTTACTGTTAAATTAGCTACAATCTCCTTCGGATCATCTGAAACATGAAGAAACAAGGCACTGAAATCATCTGTGTGAAGGTTTTAGAAGTACACATGTGTAAGTGAAACGTATGTTTTTAGAGTTCGTGTATATGCAGGGTGTAAACTACTTCATTACCACATTAAAAGGGATAGTTCACCCTAAAACGAAAATTCTGTCATCATTTTTCCATACTGTGACAGTCAATGGCTATCAGCAGCGGTTTGGTTCTCAGCATTCTTCAGAATATTTTCTTTTGTATTCATCAGAAGAAAGAAACTCATACAGGTTTGGAACAATTTGAGAGTGAGCAAATAATGACAGAATTTTCATTTTGGGTGAACTATCCCTTTAAGTGAGATAAACGTGTGTACTCACATGGTGAGTTGGCGTTTTTGGGGCCGATTCTTCCGGAGGATCCTGGGATCAGTGTGATAGCATCAACATCCAGTCCGTAAGAGCTCAAATACTCTGTTCGTTCACAATGAGACTCCTCCATTCCTGAACGCATACACACACAAACACACAAAGGCACTGAACATTTGCTGTGAGAAGTCCATTTAAATGAGGGTGTTGGATCTGAGTCTGTTTGAGAGTAACACATTTTCAATGTGGACTTTTGACTTTAGGCCCACTGTACGTGAACGTACGTGTGTGTGTTTCTGTGCTAGAACATCAGAGATCACGTGATGCGTTACGTGTGTGAGTGCAGCCGTACCATGATCGCCCACCAGGATGACGTTCACACAGCGATGGAGGTTCATCTGTTTCAGGCCGTTCATCAGCTGGCCAATGATGTTATCGATCTTCCTGAGAGTGTTATCCAGCTGCCACACACACACACACATCATATTTACACTCCTCTAAATGTCTCACACACTAATCAAAGTCTCTGTGTGTGTGGGTTTCACCTCATTGCTCAGCGGACCCAGGATGTGTCCATACGTATCCGGCTGCTCTGAGTGGACAGCATAGACATACGGCCTGGAAAATACAAACCACAAAACTACATGACAACTACACAAAAATACATGATTAATCAGCACATTAAGACAACTGTTTTGTTTTACAAGTTTTTTTAATGTTATGGGTATTTGGCGATCCCCCCAGTGGAGCGGTCAGTAGCGATGCAGTTGTGTCCTAAGACTGCCTCCTCCTGGCGGGGAGACCCGTTGCTCCCTTCCCAGGCCTGTATGCATTCGTCTGGTCTGACCGGGGATGCTTATACGGCTTGTGGGGAAGCTGGGTTCAGTTGTGCGAGCACAGGGATCTGGTGCTTCGGCACCTCAGCCAGTTGGGTCTTCGGGTCAACTGGGAAAAGAGCAAACTCTCCCCGACGCAGAGGATCTCTTTTCTAGGTATGGAGTTGGATTCGGTCAAACAGACAGCACACCTCACAGAGGAACGTGCACTGAAACTATTTCAGAGGCTCCTGGGGCATATGACAGCTGCAGCGGCAGTTACGCCGCTGGGGCTGCTTCATATGAGACCGCTCCAGCACTGGCTTCATGGCCGAATCCCGAGGTGGGTGTGGCAGCGTGGCACTCACCGGGTCCAAGTTACACCGGCCTGTCGCCAAACCTTCACCCTGTGGTCAGACCTTACATTCCTCCAGGCAGGAGTGCCCCTAGAACAGGTCTCCAGGCATGCTGTGGTTTACAAGGATGCCTCCACAACCGGCTGGGGGGGCCACATAAAATGGGAACGCAGGGTCGGGGGTTTGGACGGGCCCCCATCTGCACTGGCATATCAATTGCCTAGAGTTGTTAGCAGTGCGCCTTGCCTTGAACCGTCTCAAAGGGCGCTTACGGGGCAAATACGTGCTGGTCCGAATGGACAACACAGCGACCGTTGCGTACATCAACCGACAAGGTGGTCTGTCGATGTCCCGCCACCTCCTCCTTTGGAGTCGGAAGGTTCTGAGGTCACTTCGTGCCATTCACATTCTGGGTCTGCTCAACCGTACGGCCGACGAGCTGTCACGAGCTACGCTCCCGTGAGAATAGAGACTCCATCCCCACACGGTCCAGCTGATTTGGAGACGTTTCGGAGCCGCTCAGGAAGACCTGTTTGCCTCTCCAAAAACCTTTCACTGCCAGTTGTTCTACTCCCTGACCGAGGGAACTCTCGGCACTGACGCACTGGCACACAGCTGGCTGCGGGGCCTGCACAACTATGCGTTTCCCCCAGTGAGCCTTCTCACACAGATGCTGTGCAAGGTCAGGGAGGACGAGGAGCAGGTCCTGCTTGTCGCGCCATATTGGCCCACTCGTACCTGGTTCCCTGAACTAATGCTCCTCGCGACAGCCCCTCCCTGGCAGATTCCTCTGAGGAAGGATCTACTGACTCAGAGACAGGGCACCCACGTCCAGATCTCTGGAAACTTCATGTCTGGTTCCTAGACGGGACGCGGAGTTTCTAGGTGACCTACCCCAAGAGGTAGCTGACACCATCACTTCGGCGAGAGCTCAGTCTACGAGACACGCTTACGCCTAGAAGTGGAACCTGTTCGTCGAGTGGTGTTCTTCTCACCGAGAAGACCCCAGAGATACCCGATCAGGGTCATGCTTTCCTTTTTTCAGCAAGGGTTGGAGCGAAGGCTATCTCCTTCCACCTTTAAGTCTATGTCGCTTAAAAAAAAACGATTGCTGCTCACCATGACCCCGTGGAAGGGAAGTCGGTAGGGAAGCATGACCTGGTCATCAGGTTCCTTAGTGGGGTGAGAGGGTAAGTCCTTCCCGGCCCCTCTTCATACCCTCTTGGGACCTGTCTCTGGTGCTAGAGTTTCTTTCAATGAAAACGCTGCTCCTGCTTACACTGGCCTCCATCAAGAGGGTAGGGGACCTGCACACATTTTCAGTCGGTGATTCATGCCTAGAGTTTGGGCCGGCTGACTCCCAGGTAATCCTGAGGCCCCGGCCCAGCTATGTGCCCAAGGTTCCCACTACTCCCTTTGGGGATCAGGTGGTGAGCCTGCAAGCGCTGCCCCCGGAGGAGGCAGACCAAGCCCTAACTTTGCTCTGTCCCGTCTGAGCCTTGAGATGCTCATCCTCCTGGGCACTGGCTCGTGGCGCCTCGCTGACAGATACTTGTAGAGCTGTGGGCTGGCCGACCCCCACGTTCGCTAGATCCTATAGCCTTCGTGTGGAGCCGGTATCCTCCTGTGTTCTCACCTCAAACGGGTAGAGGCACTGAGAGGCCCTGGTTTAGTGTCGGCTTGCTAGAAACTTCTCCAGAGTGTCCGTACTGTAGACCCTGTCGAGTTCCTCAGTCCCCTCGGCAGCCAGATGTGGCGGAACGTCCGGAGCCAGGCCTTCACTCAATGAATCCTCGAGAACTGTTAGAAGGCTGGGTTTCATAAGTGAGACCTAAGTGGATCCCATATGTGTAAGGTCCACGGTATAGCTTCAGAGCCCGTGTTTCCCTGGCAGACTTCTGCCATTTCCAAAAGGGTTACAATCACCTCCAATTTTCCATATGCACCTAAACAGGTGTTCATATGTGTATGTTTGCTTCTGAAACCTCCTTCGGGAAGGATGGGGCTTCCACAGAGTCCCTGTTCCAAGTGGAACGGGTACGTTTTCCCAGTGTTATCCAATCTCACTGAGTGGGTAGTGCTATGACAACAGTGACTGGTCTTCTTGTTGCGAGCCCCGGCCAACACCACAAAGGGGCGCAGGCGGCTCGCACAGGACACTTGAAGGGGCAGCATCCATGGCGCTTTGGTAGGGATCCCAATTCATCGGTCACCGATGTGACTCGTAGTGACCAACTGAAAGGGAACGTCTCGGTTACATATGTAACCCTCGTTCCCTGAAGGAGGGAACAGAGACGTCACGTCCCGTCACCACGGCTGCTGTACCACCACTGAGTGGCCGGGTCACCGGCTCGGCTCCTCAGCGAAAAGCTGGTATGCATTGCACCGGCTGCCTTTTTATGCGCATGCTGTGATCAGCGGCAGCATTAATTGCATGCCAATGTGCATTGGCTCATTTAGTTACACTTGAAGTAAATTGGTCTCTCGAAGCGAGATCCCAATTCGTCGCACGTGACGTCTCTGTTCTCATTTTTCAGAAGGATATCAATTCTTAAATCCTAAGAATCGATTAGTCTAGCCTGTTTTCAGTTAATGGATGGAACATTGAAGGGTACTTCCCATCCAATAAATCACAATAAGCATTGTGCTTTGGTGCTTTTAATACGAAACAGTCTCAGATTTCAAATTCTGTCCATTGTATTGCAGTATTCAAACAATAAATGCCCTTTTGGTGCTGTTTAATGTGGAGTGACAGATCACTGTAGCGCCTCGATCAACAGAAACAGCAGCGCGAGGAGCACGTGAACAGGTCGTCTCCTCCACATTAATACCAGTTTCAGTTCATAATCATGACTAAACACCCGAAGGTAAGTTAAAAGAAAGAGTACAACTTTACAATCCGTATCCTGTCTCATGTGATCGCTCAATCAGTGTTTCAGCTGCGCGAAGACGTCAATATAACGGCTTGTAAACAATGTCACATAATGTCACATTTACTATACCTCAGAAAAAAACATATTCGGTGACCATAAACTCATTAATCCGATATAAAAATAAACTGTAGAGAGGGGTATTTTGCTTAATTTATCCACCATATAACATATTCATTATAATTTTTACTGTTCTTCAATGTTTAATTTATGTTTGAATAAATCCATCAAGTTTTTATGACAGCCACCATTTAAATGTTTATATTTAAAGGGGTCATATGATGTTGCTAAAAAGAACATTATTTTGTGTATTTGGTGTAATGAAATGTATTTATGCGGTTTAAGCTTCAAAAAACACATTATTTTCCACATACTGTACATTATCGTTTCTCCTCTATGCCCCGCCTTTCTGAAACGCGTCGATTTTTACAAAGCTCATCGTTCTAAAAAAGCGAGGTGTGCTGTGATTGGCCAGCTATCCAGTGCGTTGTGATTGGCCGAATACCTCAAGCGTGTGACGGAAATGTTACGCCCCTTACCATATTGTGATGATGCCCTGTCCGGCCGGAGCGATGATTCAAAAACATGAAAACCCATTATAAACGAGGCATTCGTTGCAGCCAGTGGGGACATAATTATGGATTATAATGACTTATACTCTCTTTTTACGCGTTGCGTTGCATCGCGCCGCGTAAACATAAAACCATGTCTGCATTTGTGATTGGAGAAATGACAAACAACAAGCCCTACTCTACACTGCCCAAAAAACTTGCTTTAAACATATAAAATTTTATGCACCAAGAGCTTGTAACACTCCAAAGAGAAAGGGAAAATTTTAATCGGATCATTTGACCCCTTTAAAAAAAACTAAATGTATTAATATTATGTAACTGTAACTTTATTGTAAAAACTTTATTAATTTTAACCTTCAATATTATAGTAATGTAGTACCAACTGACTCATGTAGTGGTCGACCGATATTGTTTTTTTGACAGCTGATGCCGATATCTTGGAAAGCAGGGTGGCCGATAGCCTATATAAAGCCGATATAATTTGTATATAATTTTAATTAATATTTAAGAAATTTGAAATCATTTGACAATGGATTAAAAAATAAATGTGTAAAATAAACATACTTATACTTTAGATGACAATAAAAATATAATTAAAAAGGAAGTAAACAGTGTAACCAACAGGGCACTCGGTATTCTGCGAAGTTTGTGTGCATTGGGAATCATATTTTTCAAATAAAGCCAGGGTAACACTCATTTTAAATACAGCACACAGAGAAAATGACATGAATATGACACTGGGCAAAGGCATAAAGCACAGCATAATTTGAAATCACGAGTTTAAAGTTTAAAGCATTCAATTCACACTGACCGACCATCACACAGAGAACACGTGATCATGCTGGATAAAAATGCACACTTCACAAGATCTCACAGCTGGATTTGACTAAGTTTGCAAGGTTTGTGAAATTAAAAGTTCATTAGTCATTCAAAGATTTGTTTAAATGTTTAATTGCTTAATGCTGACGGCAAACGAGAAAGTATTATAATGTTTGCCTTTCTCTTACTAATAATATAAAAGCAATCGTTATAATACTTTTTGTACACATTAATTCCTTTGTTTAACCGTTCTATCTAATTATTAGACAGACTTCTATCTGTATTAGACAGAACTGTTAACGACGACAGTAAACAAGAGGGAACAACGCCTCGAACACATCGATCAAGCAGAAAAACTTATCGGCTGTTGCCGATATTTGAAAAATGCCAAATATCGGGCGATATATCGGCCTTGGCGATATATCGGTCGACCACTACTCTCATGTATATTTTACAGCATTAGTTGAGAGATTTTTTTTCCTTGAGAAAATTTGGCATGTACTGTACCTGATATATATCCAAAATAATCGATATTGAATCGAATCGAAAGCTTGTGAATGAGAATCGAATCGTGAAATTTGTGTCAAAACCCAGCCCTAATAATTATCATTAGTTTTCACTACAGTAATCGTTATAGTAGTCACTATAATTAATGTTAGTTTCCACTAGTAATCATTAGTTTTCACTATAGTTATCATTATAGTAATCACTATCGTAATCGTTACAGTTTTCACGATAGTTATCATTATAGTAATCGTTACAGTTTTCACGATAGTTATCATTATAGTAATCGTTACAGTTTTCACGATAGTTATCATTATAGTAATCACTATTGTAATCGTTAAAGTTTTTACTATAGTTATTGTAATAACTATAGTAATCGTTACAGTTTTCACTATAGTAATCGTTATGACTATAGTTATCATTCTTGAAGTGAAGTGAGCATTTCAGTAACGAGTACCCAGGGCTTAACTATCCCTCATAAGAATGTTTTGTTTTCCCATTAGTAGTCACATGACGCACCTCTCGTCATCAGGCAGGTGCAGCCACTGCAGGGTAGTGAGGATCCTCCGCTCCAGAGGAATCACCCTACAGACAGAGAGACAGACAGACGGGTTCATTCAGCCCCTCACAAACATTGTCACACAGACGTCAGAGCTCTTCTTCACGGGCCACTGGTCGCGTCCTCACAACTAATGCGAATGAAGCTCTTCAGGGAAGAACATGAATGTCGGGACAGTCTGAGCCGCTCTGAATGACCAGTGTGTGTGTGAGAAAGGTCTTTGTTTGAATCATGTGTTGTTTGCATCATGAGTCTCTTGGCGTGAAACTCTGAGATTTGCTCTAAACACTGAATGCTGATTTTAGAAGAAAACCTCCACTCTGCTGAGAAACAGCAGTAGAACATAAAAATTTAAGATCTGAAACCAATCAAACGAAGCAGATAAATGAATAATCCTGCTAAGTGTGATTGCGAGCGCTTTATTTGTGACATTCAGCACATCTGGACTGAGATCTCTGCTCACCAGGGCCAGAAGAACGTCCCAGCTTTCACACCCTGCTTCTCTGCTGTGATCCAAACCTGAGACGACAAACAGACAAAAACAGTCTAAATGATTAAACACGAACCCACTTCAAACTAGACTTTCCATCCAAACCCAAACGGAGCTCGATGATTAGTTTAGTGTTCCCATGTAAAACCTGTACAGAATCTGGACCACAAGTACAGAATCACATTTATGCCGAACGACATTATAAAGCTTATGTAAAGCATCTCGTTTGTGATTGGCTGAGGGCCATGTGTGGGCGGAGTCATGACTCACAGGCTGCCCGCCCCACCAGCGGTGAGTGAGCTTCTCTTGTCCTTTCAGTGTGAAATGAGCTTTGAACATGGGATCATACATGGAGTTACACACGATCCCGTGAGACTCGGGATACAAACCCTGAGGAGGAACACCAGAAAACACCAACCAGTTCAGTTAAATCACATCATAAGAGCAAATCGAGTGCTCACATACAAGAATCGGGTGTAAAAACTATTTTCACTCAGAAACCACTAGTAAATTTCACAAAGAAGTGGCAAGTAACACATTAAATTAAATGTGAAATTTTGAAGTAGAAAAACTGAAAGTCCAGCAAGACGAGACGCTCGCACACATAATCGTAGAAAATTTCCATACATCAAAATTGGCCTCTAAAAAAAAGCATTTCATAAGATTTTTTTTGTTGTACATTTTTTAAGCTTATGCACCAAAGTATTCTATTTACAAACATATTTGGTGCGGATATTTAACAGCTTTTTTTGCTGGTATTTTCTTTTCTTTTAAAGCATACTCAATAAATGGTTGTAAGGTTAAAATAATTTTTTTTTTTTTTTACAGTGTACTGTATGGTGAATGTATATATATATACAGTGGGGAAAAAAAGTATTTAGTCAGTCACCAATTGTGCAAGTTCTCCCACTTAAAAAGATGAGAGAGGCCTGTAATTTTCATCATAGGTATACCTCAACTATGAGAGACAAAATGAGAAAAAAAAGAAAGTCAGAAAATCACATTGTAGGATTTTTAAAGAATTTATTTGCAAATTATGGTGGAAAATAAGTATTTGGTCAATAACAAAATTTCATCTCAATACTTTGTTATATACACTTTGTTGGCTGAATAACAATCACACTATAAATGGTACACAAATAGTAAAATAGAGTAAATAATTAAGAAAAAGATTAGAAATAATGAGAATTTCATTAGTTTCTCAGTACTGCAGTACAACTAAAAAATACTGTGATACTTAAAATATTTGTATTTCATTTTGAACTGTCAGAATTTTAAATCCCAATGTTCATAAAAAGGCTCAATTTTATTTAGGCAAGTTATAATGTCATATATCAATAGTCTAGTTTAAAAAATCTTAAATTTTTTCTCAACATAACAGAATTTACAAATTCATCTAAAATACATTAAAAGCCTTCATTTCAATGTTAACTCTCCAGATACAGTCCGTAGCATGCAGGAATTTGACATGTCGTGCTTCAGATGATCGGATTCATGATTAGAGCAGTGATCTCTCAGTTATATCTGAGTGCGCTGAGTGAATCTGTCTGCTGTGAAGTGTGTTTGGTACCGTGGCCAGAGTGTAGAGGTTCGGGAATGTTTTGGACGGGTACATGGGCCTCATATGAGGGGCGCGAGTTCCACACGATCCTATAAAGAAACACATGAAACTGTTTTAACGAGCAGCTGATAAATGAGCAGCCGTTTTAATGAATAGCTGCTCCTGAGACCTCAGTCATGGAAGACGCTGTATCTCGCACTAGATCACTCACTCAACAGTCGCCAGACGCTCACTGATAATGAGTCACTGTCGGTCTGAACAGTTAATTTCTTATCTCGACTGATGACAGAAAGACATGAACATCTTGGATGACATGGGGGCGAGTAAATCATCAGGAGATTTTTATTCTGGAAGTGAACTGATACTTTAAAGGGGTCACATGATGTTGCTAAAAATAACATTATTTGGTGTAATCAGAATCAGAATGAGCTTTATTTCCAGGTATGTTTACACATACGAGGAATTTGTTTTCGTGACAGAAGCTTCCACAATGTAACAGAATGACAGTGACAGAACAAAAACACAGATAATTAAAGAAGAATTTAAAAAATAGAACAAGTAAATAAGGAATAACAATATATAAATTGACAATTGTATGTGCAGGTATATTACAATCATACAGGTATATTATGTGCAAATTGAAATGTAGGCTGAGTATGTGT